GCTCAGACCGCTTCTCTACCTTTCTGTCTCTGGTCAGTAGAAGTTTCTTTCAGAATATTGCTTATGTTTCTTTTGCGAAACCCGTTTCCATTGCCTGGACTGCCAGACTTCGAGGCTACGAGTTGGCTTCCAGATAACGATCCTACTGTACTTCATCATAAGCCTCTGCGAGCAATAATTAGTAGTATACATCTTGTGCGTGGTGAGAAGAGCAGATTTCCCTCTTTCGGATGGGGAACGCTAGGTTGGCAGGTCAGCTGGCACTTGTGTGCTGGAAACTGGGCATGTCATTGCTGCTAAGTGCTAAGCCCTCATTACTCAGGGCCTGGATTCCTAATTCACTGGTGACCTTGATTGTGTGCAATGTACACAGTATCGCTTTTCAGCCCAGCTCAGGTCCGAATTCTAGCACAAGCTTTTTATAAACTGCTTCCCATTCTTGTTTCCTCATTGAAGACCATAGCTGAACATGCAGAGATCAAAGATTTTTACTAACGCATGGTGCAATAATGAACATCTATATAAAGAGTAGTATATTCATAAATTCTCATCTATTCTCTATCATGCACACCTGTTTGTAGTCTCTCTCTATAGGTGGATATAGGTAGCTCATAGTGATATATAATAAGCCTAAAGATGGCTAAAATAAAAATTATTCATATATAATATTATTTAGAGACCTTTAAAACGTAGGAAACCATACCACACTACTCTCTAGCTGTTGTTTCACATTTTGTCAGTTTCCAGGTGTTTTTTTAACTTGAGCTTCATGAGTTAATAAAAATTGAAGGCTTTCTGTTATATTGACTTAAAATAGATTAATACTTCCCCTATAGAATTTTCTGCCACTAAGGACAGCATACCCAAATGTTGCACACGTTTTCTGTTGACTTCACCAGGCAATAAAGAACTATAGCTTTCACATGTAGCTGGGTACTGGTAAACCATTTCAGCTGTAATTTTATGCCGTTTTTTTTTTTTCCTAATAGAATCTGTATGTGTTAGGTGTCATTGAATGAATGGGAAGTTTCAGTTTGTATTCTTTCTTTTAAATCTCCAACAGCTGAGAACAGACTGAGCTCTGGCATGTACTCTTGCCTTTTGATACAGTTTTAAGCATAATCTTTAAGAATGTTTTGTGTTTTGATTGTATTTCAGAAGTGG